TTACAAGACGAGGACTGCGATGCAACGCTTGTTGTAAATGGGGTAAACACGATGGTTCGATATACGTTACGAATTTTTTTTTTCAAATAAAGCGACTTTAAGGACTCTAGCTTCAGTTTATTGGCAACGAAAGGATTCCACGGCATTTTTTTGGAAGGATGTGATAATTCCTTTCGATTCGGGTTTCGTTCTTTTTAGTCCGGTGCGTCAGTGACGTCGGGTGAAACAGAACTTTGTCGGGTAACAATGCTTACACGATTCCAAAATCTCGATTACTGCTCATATTTGCGAATGATCGCGAAACTGACCAACTATTGAAAAAAGCCGTATTGTGTAAATACAACATCCCAAAGTTCACCACAGGATGGAGGTGGCAACCCTGAGTTTTTGAATGGACCATTGTACCATTTATCCAGCTTTGACCATGTTACTGGGTGTTTCCCTCATCCTGAACGTAAACAACAATTAGCAACATCCTCACATACTACTGTAAGTTAATTTAAATTCATTTTACACTATTGTTGCTACTGTTATCAATGTAATTGCAGCTCCTGATGATGATGGCAAAGACCATTGAAAGCTAGAGAGAATAAAAAAAGTATAAAGAGTCCTCCTTGCTTAAATTTTGTCGAAGTACCCAACAAAAGGCGGAAGCTTTAATTTTTCACCTAACTGGTCTAGACGACAATGACCACGTCTCAAGTTATATATATATATGAACAATGTCTGGAAAATGATCATACGGAGAAAGGTATATAACAAAAAGTAGGAAAACAATGGGCAAAATCCGCAAAAAGGAGGAGCAGAAAATAGGATAGGTAACCCGAGCGATACGTATTTCTGCTGGTTGGCTTCGTCAGGCCCGAAATGAATGCACATATGCAACTACAAAAGTAGATACACATGCCCACACATACGGATACGGGTGTAACCTGAGGAAACGAAGATGGAGAGGGAAAAAATCGACATACGAAGTCCACAACAACAGCCAACCTCCACATTGTAGTATAAAATGGCTAGAAGACCTCGAATTTTCAAAGAGACATCTAACCACAACCACGCGGCCGGTTATAGCCTCTTTCTATCTACAAAGCGAAAATGATCATGCGGAGAAAGGTATATAACAAAAAAATAGGAAAATAATCGGCAAAATCCGCAAAAATATTAATTTCTATATCAATTGGTGGAATACGTTAACCAATGATTAAAGATACCCATTTAAAATGGGCATTAAAGCGGAGGAAAAAATTCCTATGTTCTGCTACCCTCTCACAGATGGCGCTAGTGTTTTCATATCCTTTTAAGGTGCCGTATATGGTCGGATAACTGTAGGCACGGAGCTATCGACCCGACCAACTCTCAATGTGTGAAGTTTGAAAGATAGAAAATGCGGCCTGTAAGCTTAACGAACGAATGACGAAATTATTTGGATACGCCTCTGGTTTGATAGGATTATGGTCCTTTTTGTCGGCGACAGACCAGAATACCCAGGTAACTCTTATTACGCCCGCCTTTAGTTAGTGAAGAATTTCAGGGGTCCCTCGTTTATTTTCTTCATTAACAGTTGAACGGCGATGCTCCACGGCGCAGCAGCGCGCACTGGATTTTTTCTCTTCCTTTTTTCTTTTCGTTACATAAATTGGACGCGCACAGTCCCTTGTAATTAAAAGTCATTTCGGCCTGTATCGCCAATTTTCCAGTTAAAACGGCAAATTTCCGACGCGTTCGACATTCGCGATTCATTTCCGTTAATTGTGAGATTATTTAGTATTTATTTCGGTACTGCATTTCGTTCTGACCCACATCAAGATTCTCATCACACAGTAAGGCAAGATCCCACAATACCTGACGCAGCTCTTCTTAAACCTCTACACATCTATTCTAAAAGAACGGCACACTCTTACAGCAAAATCGTAACATTTTAATTCATGGTGAGGATCTTCGGAATGCTACCGAGGCTTCACGAGTGCATGCAGATCGTTTTTAACGCGATTGTTTTGTTTGGGGCGACATAAAATGTTTAATATATAACACCGCGTGGTATGTATGTATTTTAAATACTGAGGCTGACAGTTCTCATATTGAACCAACTATTCTAAAACCTGGACCTAAAATATATCAGCCATATATTCCTCATTGAATCATTTAATTTCCTGACTTATAACTTAACTGTTTTCCTATTGCTATTAACATATAAATTGGAGAATCATCACCTAAAACGTGAATTTATGAAAGGCAATTATCTGATAAACCCAGCTACGTATAAATCTCACTAGCACCTTTACCTTCCGCAACCTCACCAAAGTATAATTCTAGGTCAATTCGTACACAGCCATAAAGCTATATGACACCTTTTCGATATCTGCCTAACTGTACGATGTTACCAAAATGGCAGAACAACTGCAGAGTTGAAGAGTAAACGAATAATTAGCAATGGATCTAGTAAATTGTTGTCAACAAAGGCATACCTTTCATACAAGGACCAGGTATTCAGTCGTGATTAGATGGAAACTATGCGGTAATAACATGGATCAGGAAAATTGTCTATAAACGCACTATAATGAAGGAGTAATTGATTGGTATACGCGGATAAGTAGTTGTCCGTATTGCTGAAGAAGGATATTGATTGACGAAATAGCTATTTGCATTTTTAATTCAGGGCTATAATAATATAATCAGGACATCGACGTTGACATTTCTTGGCACCAATATGCAACATGCATAAGTTGAGTTCCTCAATAAATACAAAGATGTAGCAGCTGTGCTGTTTATTTATATATTAATTCGGTAATAAGGTTTAAAAGTTTGTTTTACTTGAAACAGAAAATAACTATTCTCTAGGCGCTGAAGAAAGAAACTAAACCCAAACAAATACACGCATATTGCTCGTGAGTGAGTGTTTAGGCGCAGGAGACATTACAGGACCGCATCAAGATATTATGGGTAGTCATCAAAAATTTCATACAAGATAATTATTATCTTTTACAGTAAATTTCAGTTAGAGATTCACAAATGAGTTAACTACACTTTTTAGTTATTAGTAAGTAAGCTGCGCGCACTCATTCAGAAGAGGAACTTGAATCTTCTGAATCGTTTAAATGAATTATTAGAGGTTCAATTTGGGTATCGATGACATTGTCCAAATCCCACATTTTGACCTCAACCTTCTCCCGAACGTGGCGGATACAGTTTTTCCATTCCTCTGCCGTAACTCTATTGACTGCGATGTGAAAGAGATTTTTAACATCAGAAAATTTATAAGAATTATTATTCGACGCCACGTATTGCTTTATGTTGGCCCAAATCAGCTCAATAGGGTTCAGCTCACAATGGTAGGGTGGCAGTCTCAAGACAGTTTTATTTTGTTTTTTGGCCATTTCGTCGATCATTTTAAAATCGTATTTGTATTTATGTCTATTGACTATACTTATCAATTCACCCTTGACCATTGTTTCATCAAAATCGATGTGTTTTGAGGCCAGCCATTGTTGTATGTTTGCTTTTTTAGTTGCCAAAATGATAATAAATTTCAAAATAACGCTTAAAAGAGGGTCGAAGTTTTTTTCCTAATGACTACACTGCGAATGCACCATTTTTGGAGAATATCACACATTATCTGCTATCACAGCATATTATTTGCCCGAATTTATCAAAATTAAATTGCCGGATAGATGAAGGAGCTTACCTGCAGGATTTTTCAATCCAGCCGAAAGACCGTCTAGAAAAGCCTGCCTTGATGATGTTACTGATTTGTCGACCCAAACTTTCACTTGAGTATGTCCAGCATTCACCCACGTTTCGTCCAAATAGTAAATTTTTCTTTTTTCATCGCGAAACTTCCGAATCTTCCTAAGGTATTCCCTTCTCCACACAACAATTTCTTGTTTCTCTATTAACATACTGTTTCTTCCCCGTTTCAAGAATCGAAAATTAAGTTCCTTCAAAAGTTTTCGGAATGTGGTTCTTTTAAATGATGGAAGATCCTCATCAGCTTTAACTAATCTTAATATCTTATCTACTGTAGGTATCTCATTTCGGAAGAAAAAATTATGCACTTTCCTCCTGATGGCAGTTCTGTCAAAGTCATCTACTCCGTCCGTTATCCTTTTTCTTGCAGAATACGGTTTTGGCTCAGAAAGTGAGTGATTGCTCCTATATTTCTTAATGATCCTATAAACACTGGACCGACATACTCCAGAAATATGTGCTACCTTACATATAACTTCCACGTCCACGACCAAATCGGGTTTTTCTTGAATTTGGTTTTTGTATATATTTAATATTATTTGTTTTTCATTTGCACTTAAATGTAGCTTCTTAGCCCTTTTTTTGGGTGGGGTTGCGCTGATGTCAACCACTTCGTCGGCTGTATCTGTGTCAGACATCGTATCTTAGGCAATATATAAACAAAACGTTCCACTCGCGAAAAACGAGTATACGCTACTGAATGCGTAATGCGTATGCAATGCAATCCTGTGCGTGAATTAACTGTTAGATGCCTGTCGTGCCACCTACAATCACGTTTACAAGTCCAAACCTGTGCAGATTCGTAGAGCGCCGACGACTGCTAGTGACCTTGAATTTGTCTGTAGATCGATGTTACTCCAGTCAATTTAGGTTCAAAGTGGATGTTTTCTAAACCAATTTGTTGTTCCTACATCAAAAATATATCGATGATGTTTTGTACTGGGAGCTCATGAAAGATCAAGGTAACTTATTTTAACAGTCATCCTTTTTCTAGTCTCAAGATGACACGAAAAAGGGTCTGTGGATTCACTAGAAATACACTGCCGAGGATGTTTAGACCTAAAGTGACTGGAGTATATCCGTGGATGCTTTCGAGGGATCTGTTCACGTGCTGATCACTGTTTACGTTTAATGTCTTTCTTCAGCGCCCAGAGTATAGTTATCAGTTATTTTGATTTACTTCCTATACCAAAATAAAATCGTGTAGCGGCTAATTGCACCAATGAAAATAATAATAAACCCTAAGAAACACTCTAAAACCCACTCACCGTCCATCTGAATGTGAAGGGAAGCACGATTTTCCCCACTCCTCGATCCGGATCCGAAACGATGAAAGAGTCTCTCCCGAGCACCTGACTAGACGCGTTCCCGAACGAGCACGAGCCAGTGCTGGCAACGTTGCTCTGGTACTCTTTCAGACAAAGACGGAAATACGTCTGGCACGGCACCGTGCACCGATTGGCCAACGGGTTGCGCGCGGCGTTGCCACCGCCGCAACACTCGCCGGATGACAGTTCGCTCAGCGGGTTCGACATCTCGAGCACTTGCAGTTCGAAGATGCCCGAGCCGGACGTGCACTGAAACAGAAAACAAAGTGTTATTTATGGCTTATCGGTAGGGCAAACACACTGCATCCATGCCAGAACGGCGAGTGTCGTTTTCGTATGAAAGTACGCATGGTATCGTTAAGTGAACTTGCGAAGTCTTGTTGAAGGTTTACTACATCTGTATGGTTATCATTCTGATCAATATTTCGAAGTGTGGTTGTCATGGATTGAGATTTTGTTTGAATTTAATACTAATTTGATTGCTGTAGACCAGTCCTGGAAACCAGATATGCTGGCTGGTGGCTCGCTGTTGATGTTTGTAAATGAATCGTGGGTTGAGGGTGGTGTCATCAGCGTGAAGAATGAGCTTACTGTCCATATCATAAGAAAGACAGTTTGGCAGGTCGTGTATATAGAGCAAGAACAGTAAAGGGCCAAGGACAGATCCTTGTGGCACTCCATTCATAAACTGCGCTGACTGTAGAGTTACAACCATTGATCAATGAGCCTTTGCAGATCTTAGAACTACAGCAGACGGATCGATTGAGTTATACGGTAGCTTTTTCGCAAATAAAGATTAAAATTTTGGGTTGAGAAACATTCTAGCTCGTTTAACCGTTTCGTTGCGTGGGTTACCGAGTTAGCCTACTTAGCCCATACAACAAAGTCATCAATCAAGTTACATCAGACGGAAACTTCCCATATATCCGCGGTTATTTCTCCAAAATAACCCATTACATTCGTAATGTTACCTTAGACAATGTTATATCTCGCTAGCGTGTAATCTGAAGTCGTAAAACATACGGCAGGCACAAATTTCGTTTAGAAAATTAAAAGAAAGCCCGGACGAAGAGTAATAATCACAGTAGCGGCTAGACCAGACAATGATGATCCGCTTGCGAAACCGATACTTAAATCGGGCAAAGTAACAATAACAAGTCTTTCTTAACTGTAAAATAAGTGGGACTTACAACGCCGTATTGTTATAAATCACTTTTAATGTCCTTTGCTTCTTTAAGCTGGTGCTCAGCGTGTAAAAATATCTAATATTTGTTTACATATAATCTCAGATACTTTAACCTCACTTTAATCTGCTCAGCTTATTGCACGTTCTTTTTAACAAAAACCAGTTTAATTATAGAGAGATTTTTTTTCTCTCCACATACCCCAACTGCATTACCTACTGATAACCCCTGATTTGATAGCTTTATTTCTGAAATGTCTCATCAAAACCTTGAAATAGCTCTAGTGCCAACTGAAATGAGCGAAAAACAGAAACTCCACAAAAATGAAGGAATATTATACTTGGTAATAAGCATAAGCACCACTAACCGTACCTCCTAGGTTATTATTCGTTCTTTTTGAGACCATTTGAATCAAAGAAAGTTGTAGGGCATCTGGAACCACCTGCTGGCGATAGTATAAATCTGAGTAAATACTGAAATATAGAATATTAGTCGTATGGCGTCTATAGCAGACTTCTGTTAAGTATAAATCCAACTTCAGCCTTTTTGCAGTTTCAATTAGGAATTACTATTGGTCCAAATGTTGCAACCACAGCACAAGAAATCATGCATATAAAACAAAAATATTTGACGCTCTTTTAGCCTTGAAGCTGTAGAATGATATCTATCTGTTACATCTATCTTTTACGCATATCTTCGAAGTATTCTTTGTTCAAATGGAATATCATAATATGACGTTTCTTAGTCCAGGAGTAGACCTAACATCTCCAGAATCCTATATTTTTCTAGCTCATAAAATGAGTGTAAAAAGGAGCTTCAAAAGTAACATTGCATACCTAGAAGTGGCGAAGTTGTATTTTTGTTTTATCGTTGAACTGTGACTATGACTGAAAAATTCAAGACTGGTTAAAGAATCTTTTTGTGGCAATTCGCTATAAAATGACAGCATGATCTGCTCGATATGAACTAAAAACTTATCGTTTGCCTAGAGTAAACTGAGGAAGACCGACGGATTTTTGTTATAACAATGCTTATCTTACTTTTTCATAAGAAGACAAACAATTTGAATGATTTTCTTATGAATATCGACGAACTCCTGGACTATTGCACATTTGAGGTTACCGCGATTGACGTACTGAAAGTCAAACCGGACAGCGAAGTTATTAATTCATTCTCAGTCGGAACAATAGATTCGCCAGAGATGCTGCGCACAGATTAATGAGAAATACTCCGTGTTCTTTTCCGTTGAAATGTCCTTATCGAACAATGTAAAGTGTGATTTGTATTCCTGAGATGATCTGTTAGAGGAAACGCTGAGGTCATCTTTCATTCGGTCTTTTTCTTGTACACAAAAAGCGAGATATCTTGGAACTACGTTTGGTGTTAGGTAGAAATATATAAAATACCTCGCGTCTAATAGTAAACCTTTCTAAAAGTTTGTCTAAAAACTTAATACTCAAAGATGCTACAATTCCACACGCCTATCATCCCATGTCACTCCACCGGCTTCCTTGATACGAAACAGATATTATGAAATCCAAAACAATCGCTGCTAGATTTGTCGGTGTAAACCAAAGCACACGTGGCTGGTACCCTTTCGGTTTCCTCTACAAGCAGCCACTTCCGAAAAAAAAACTTCTATCGATCACGATGTACATCCGTTTCCTTTGGGAACACTACGCACGTGGGCCAAAAAAAAACAGATTGAGGATCAGATGTCATTAGGCGGTTGATAAAGATTTGGAAGTACATGACCATTGATACCAGATCTGATTTGTAGTGAAGATGCTTACATGATCTTTGGATCGGGCATTTTACAATAATTATCCCCAAAGTTAAACATATCGACTTCAAAATATCCCAAAAAATAACAACACTAACCACATAACATGGCAATTTGCGTTCGTTTGACATTTGATGACCATAATTACCAGCTTAACATGGTTTGCCCGAAAACCTCATTGTCGACAACGAAAATGGAAATCGAATTATATAGTACAGAGTCTCAGTGCTTTATTCTTTAACATTGATAGTTTGGACATGAAATGCAACATTTATCAGAATAAAAATCAATTCTGTCAGCCGCTTACCACCGCGGGAAATGCAGAGAATTGAATGTCTGGATTTCAAATACTTTTTTCCAACACACTATTGAAAATGCAACGTGCACATTTTGAAATACGACATTTTTCCCGTAAGAAAATTATGAATAATAGTATAACGCACTTGTTTTGTACCTAACAATGTAAAAAAAAATGAGTCTCATACAGTTCTTTGAGGTGGCACACACAGAAATTATCATTGTTGACAAAAAGCGTCATTATAGCACGGATTATTACGATCCCGAACGTGCACTTTCCTCATATCTTGAGAACCATCGACGGCAATATCCGATGCACTTCCTGTATTAATAATAATCATCGTCACCCACATTGAAAAAAGGCGAACAGAAAAAAAAGACAAAAGAGCCCTCCGGTATCAGTTTCAGCATATAACTGATATCCTTCGCTATCGAGTTGCAGCGGTATCGCCGAGTATCGCGTTTCCGCAAGAAACGTGTCGTACCAACACAGAGTAGGAAACTTTTGCGGTGGACGAAGATACCTTTGAACGGCGACGAGACTCAGACGGAATGGGTCTACGGGAAGCGAGCGATAATTTTTTATAATAATGATAATAAAGATAGCTGCTCTTCCACTTCACCCCCTAAACGTCTGACTGCGTGTAGTTTCTGTTCCATGGTAATAACAACGCGTTTACGTTTATTTCTGTGCTGCTCCATCTTAGCGATTTATGAAGCTGACTGAAACAAACGCGCTTGGTGGAATCTAATGACGCCGAAAGGGGAACTACCGTATATATCTCGATTACATCTCTAGACACGCATCTCTAGCCGCTACATGGGCGTGGTTTGCGGAGCGCTGTCAGGTGCGTTGTGGAGCCGGCTTATTTATAGTCCAGGCAACTTAGATCAGGTTTTCTCTATGCACGTATGGGACCGTGCCATTTGTCGTCGACTCACCGGGTTCAAAACAATTATTTGAAGTCCATAAGAGCTTCTTAGGTGTTAAGTGAATAAGTTATACTTAAAGTGGTTATGCGTTATGGCAGAGACAGAGAAAATGTAAAAAAATACAACCACTCTGCCACTGAGTATATCAATACACGTTTACCTTTAGTAGATTTTCTGTGTATTGATATTTACAGGTAATGGGCAGCAATTCGCAAATTCTTCATTGATCCTAGATATTAGTTCAAACTTTATTTTTTATCATGTTGTGTAATAGCTATCTTTTAGCAGCGTAGTGAATTTTAATTATAGAATCTTCTTTTTCGTCTAATGTCAAGTCTTATATCAAATGATTAACAAGACAATAAAGCTAAAAAAATCCTGCGTGTTTCATATAATACCGAATGCTTCTAATGCATTTTAAACTCCAATAAGGTCGGACCAAATACAGCCTCTCCGTGAAACAACAGACCAACCTTAAACAGTCCAGTATAACGACACCGCCTATTCTTTTCATCTATCCGTTTCAAATCCTTTATCTCAAATCCAGTGGAAAAATGCTCGATAATAAATAAATTGCTTATTTCTCGGCCGCACGGTGAAAAAAAGTTAATAGCCCAACTATGCGTTGGATGATTTTAAAGGATCTGAAATAAACCGATTTTTTGAACGCGCCAGTTGTCCACAAGAACGCGATGACTTGCTGAAAACTTGACGACGGTTTTTTGCTCGATCGAGACGCGGTGTACACCTAGAATTGTGTTGTCATATTGTTCTCACAGAACGCGTAGTATAAGGAGAAAAAGAACGATATCGAGCTCAAGACTAGCGTCAGGGGATCAAGATTACGTCGTGTTTTGTTTTAAGGGAAACGTTTTTTTTTGCAAGTTGATACAACGTCCAGAATACGGATGTTCATGTTCATTGTTAACTTTAAAGACGAGACTTAAGATAAAGGGTAAGGAGTCACTTTCTAAGGGTCTTTGAATCTTTAAACTATTTGTTCCCGATCACATTGAGAGACAAACTGTGTTAACAATGGCGCAAGACGAAAA